GAAGACACAAAAATTCTGTGCTTTATGATCTAAGAAGACACAAAAATTCTGTGCTTTATGTTCTTTGAAGACACAAAAATTCTGTGCTTTATGATCTAAGAAGACACAAAAATTCTGTGCTTTATGTTCTTTGAAGACACAAAAATTCTGTGCTTTATGATCTAAGAAGACACAAAAATTCTGTGCGTTACGATCTAAGAATTAAACAAAATCTTGGTTATTAATTAAGAAAGAATTCATTAAGCGATTAAGTTAATATTAATTATAAATATATTTATCAGTTACATATAAAATATCTCTAATCTCTGTGATGACTTTTTAAATTCTTATATGCTTCTTTGAGATAGTTTCGCGTTGTGGGAAGAAGCTTTTCACCGTCATTTAAAACAAAATTACAACAAATAATGCAGCTTTTTGGGAGCCACTCCAGCCAAGGTTGATTTTTTTTGCGGGGGATGTGTTGGGGGTACCATTTTCCAAGGTAAGTCCCTTTCCAATAATGCACTTGGAACTCCTGGTCTTTAAGCTGTATTACTTTCCCAATCACAGGTGAAACATCGTAATTTTCAAACACCATGGCGACAAACGATCCCTCCTTCAGTTCCTCCAAAAAGTTGTCATCCCTTTGTATAGGGTTCTCCCTTGCAGAACGCTTTCGATAAGGGCCTGAATAAATCTGTATGAAAATAATAATTGGAAGAAAATAATTTTAAAATTTTGTATTGGCTATTCAATAATCTGCAGCGTATGAAAATCTGCTTTACAATAACCCAGCAATGTAGAATCATAAAACTTGAAGACTAAACCTCGAACAAAACACAAGGATATTTGACATAATGACAAAGAATAAATTTAAAAAGTTTTGTGCTCATTTAAAACACACAATCAAAGTACAGTTGAACTCACTTCTCTAGTTGGTTCTAGTTCCTTTTCTCTGATGGCATGCAGGTCAGCTAGTCCTTCTTGTACAGCTGGCAATGGTTCAGTTCTAAGTGACGCCTGTAGTTGATCCAAAGGCCATTCATATGTCGTTGGTAAGACGGTTAAGTCGTTGATGTTGTCAACCCAGGTCTTCCAGAAATTACAGGCCACGTCAGGAATGTGGCCGGAATACTTTGGAAGGTCTTTCTTTATAGATGCAACATCAATTTTGTTCAGTTGTGGCTGAACAAGTTCCGGTTTTCCGCTTGGAACACTCTGAACCAACCAAAAATGATTATTAAAATAAAGAAGGTATTTAAGATTATAAGTTAAACTATGAGCACTCCCTCTTTTTATTCAAAATTCAGTAATTATAAAAAAGTTGTGGGACACCTCATTTTTGTTTATAATTGTCATTAAGTTCTGTTACCTCAAATATTAGGAAAGGGCCAGACCACTCATCATTGCTCCAATTCCTGTAGGACATAATGACATTATCATTACCATCCAGTTCAAACTTGAAGCATTTTGGTTTTGTATGGTCATTCATTGGTCTTGCATGACCAGATATCCACAAACGTACATTGTAGGAGTTGGTCAAAAGAAATGACTTGGGAAGTGGATTTCTCATGCAGGACTCCATTGCAATAGAGTTTTCCGATTTAGCGATTTTTTCACAAATCTGGCAATTTGGTACCAGCACGTGCCATAACATCTAAGTGAAAATGCTTTATCTTTTACATTTCACATGACTGCGCGCAACAATGGCTATAAAATAAACTCATTTTCAATTGTAATTGATTCCACCTCATTTACTAGTACAATCTTAACCCACTTTCAACGATTTTACGATTAATACCTCAAACTAGCATTCAGTTACATGATCACAGACATGGAAAAGATAGTGGAGCGATGAGTGCAAAGGGATACACATTTTTATTTCTTGCACATTTCTTACACAGTAACACTAATGTTCTTCAGACTTCAGTTGCAAGATTCTTGATTCCTATTTTTAATTTTGATTTTTTTAAGGGACTATCTATTTCCCGTACGGAACAGTAACATATACATAAAGAAGTCTTCAAAGATTTATCTTTTTTTTTCATTAGTCATCTGAGGTTTCTCCCATCATTTTTTTAAACATTCACTATTTTTATGGTCTCTTGCTGCCTTGTTTGCATTCTTTATTAGCTCTGGCAAGGAGGCAAGAATGTTGTCCATTTTCGCTTTCGTGTTCTGTTTATGCCTTCTCTTTCCTGTGTCTTTCCTGGAGACAGAGAGAGAGAGCAAAAGAAGAAATAAACATATAGGCTGTTCTTCGTTGGCGTAGAAATATTCCGCGCAGGTAGAAATAACCTACAAGCGGGAAAGAGTAGAGTGAAAATATTCTTAGAGTGAAGTGAAGAACCCCCAGTGAAATAGAATACTAAATACACTTTAGTATACCCTAATTTCATTTTTTTTCCCTGTCTATTTGACTATTAGACCTTTGTAGGACCTCGCTGAAAACCACATTATGTGATGTGAGCTTCCTAAATAAATATCATATAACATTATTTGGCTGCCCCCATTAACGTGCCGGCAAAATGGAAATACCAAAACTTACCTCGCTTTCTCTAGTTTCTTTTTCTGCAGCCTTCGAAYCCTGTCTATTGCTGAATTCATTGTCAGGCCACCTGGCTTCCCCACTGATTCATAGTAACTCTTTAGGTCGTCGTCTAAAATTTCTCGGTGCTTTATCATGAAATGAACGGTTGCCTTGCTGCCCATGCCATACTTGCGAAACCCCTCACCTACTAGCACTTTTTCTACTTCGGTACTTCGAGGTTTTGACTCAGTCSACATTCTTCTTGCTTTGCTGGGCGGTTCACCTCATTTCATGTCGTCTGTTTTCGAATACGAACAAGAAGGCCTGCTTTCGCTTGTCAATTCTGGTTTCTTGAATTGTACCGTTGGTATTTCTATACTTTTGCTGAGAGCTGCTCTCAAAAAAATGTTTTCATCTTCCATGATTTTGAACTAGAAACAGGTCC